GTTTCCTCAATCGCGCAGCCTCAATCTTTGCTTTACAATACCGCGATTTGTAAATCCAACGGAGGCGAACGGACGACGACGAAGATTTCGTGGTCGGCAGATCGGCCGGCCGTGAGGCGGAGAAGGAGAGCTAGAGGAACAGAAGTGGTGTTGCCAAGCGACTGGAACCAAACTGGAATTCTGCGTAACAACTCACGGATAGAGGCGCAACAGACCGGAAATCCTTTGGATTCGATGGCTCTCTCGCGCGCCCGGCCATCGACAAAGGAATCGAGCCTAGAAATTCGCGATCGGCGCTGCGATACAATGGGCCCCGTGGAAGTCTTCGACGCCGGGGCCGGGACGGGCCCCGTATTGTTGCGAAACTGCGACGCCGAGATTCACTCGGCTGGCTGCCAACGATTTCGAGAATGAGAGCGGGAGCCGCTGTTCGTAATGGAGTCAGGGGCGGCGCCGCTAATGAGACTCCGGGCCCGAATTCGACGAAAACAGACGCGTATTATCGGCCGTATAACTCTGGTCTCTCCTCTTTGTCGTCGGACAGGCCCGCGGGACTTCGGCGGCCAAATGAATTGCCGGTATCGCGAACGTGTTCCCGATGCGATGCGACCGTTTCGAGGATTGTGCAACGCCTGGCGATTCGGTTTCGTAAGCGCTCGTCTTTCCCGGGCTGACTAAGAAAATATCATTAACGCCGTTTACGACGATTCGAGCGCCGCGAAAAAGGAGCCCGTGTTTGTTTAAAGCGTAATGGTGGATAAATATTTCCTCGGCTGGCCGCTGAATCCTCGGGGTTCGAGGAACTATGCTGGGAATGATTCATCCGGGAATCATTCGTACACATTCTGTTTTCTTTTGTACGGCGGGAGCAAATTTGGAGATGCCTGCCCGCGCGCAGATAATTAATTGTGCAAACCGCGCCTCGTTCGCGTTTGCGGTTCAATTAACGTTCTTGAATAGGTGATCAAGATTCGTCGGAAAATCCGTTCTCGATCGTTATGCCGACGAACGTTGGAGACGCAGTGCAATTTAATTTCATTTGTTTATACAGGGTGTTCACCGCGTAACGGTCGCCACGTGTTTTGAGGCATTTAGGCCAATCTGAGAAAAACAAATGTTTCGAATGAAAGTGATTCGGTACTTTGATGGGAATAAAGTGTATTAACACATTAAAGGCGGGAGTCGTAGTACTACGATTTGTCTCGACTTCTCATAAATATGTACTTTAACCCTTTGCGGTCGAAGCCATTTCAACAGAAAATATAAAATCATTTTTCCGTCTTACAGTATTTCTATTCTATATGAGAAAATGCATTTTATGCATATATGAAAATTGACTCTTGGGACTCGCGCAACAGTTACAATCTTAACAATTTTTCAAATGTAAACTTTGTTAATGTCAAAATTATTCTAAAAGGTGATATAACAAAGATTAGTGGTGCCTCAGAGTCGCCATTCGACTGCAAAGGGTTAAAACATTTTTTGTAATTAGTGTTTAGTTCTTTTTTAATATTTCTTTTAGTTTTAAGAGTTTAAATAAACTTTTTTAAGTCTAAATTTTTTTATGATTACACAAAATATCACCCGCTCTAGGACGAAAAACGAGGCGGGGCGGTCGCCGCGTTACCTAGCATACTTTCGTCAAGATCCCCCGCCTTTAATGTGTTAATAAAAATTTGCGAAACATTTTTTTATTCGATAAGAAACTAAGGTTATCTTGACTTTCTTAAATAGCATTATGTATTTTTTGACTGTGTATTGTTACAGCTGATGAACAAATGAATTCAGTGGTCTACCATACGATGACCTTCGGGTGACCTTGAGCTCAGAAATTGACAACAACTAAGGAACTAAGTTTCCCACGCGTTGATGAAACGTAAATGTAACTCATAGTCAATGATACTTTCGAACTGGATGTAAACAGTTACAATGTAAACACACTTAACTTTGATTTGATCTTTTGCTGATATAGTATTACTTTGAACATTTATTGAGGTAAGTCCGGGTTAATTTGACCACTTTCTATTAAAAAATTCTAGCATTGTTATGTTAGATACAATTTTCATTTCTCTTTTCTGTTTATAACAATTGTCACTGTGGGATCACCAACAAGATGAATATGTATTTGTTTCGTTTACATCACACAGAGCCAAACTATTCCGGATTTATCCTATAACATTACCGTTATTATAATAAATTAATATGTACATTCAGTTCGAAAGTATCATTGACTATGAGTTACGTTTAGGTTTCATTAACGCGTAGGAAACTTAGTTTCTTAGTTATTGCCAATTTCTAAGCTCAAGGTCATTCAAAGGTCGTCGTAAGGTGGATCACTGAATTCATTTTTTTTATCAGCTATAATGATATGGAGTTGAAAATACATAGTGCTATTTAAAAAGGTCAAGGTGACCTTAGTTTTTTATTGAATAAGAAGTTTTTTCGCAATTTTTATTAATGCACTTTATTCCCATCAAAGTACTGAATATCTTTTATTCGAAACAGTTGTTTGTCAGATTTGCCTAAATGCCTAAAAAATCGTGGCGATCGTTACGGAGAACACCCTGCAGTATACATATAGGGGTAAATTCCCGTTTGTATAATAACAGAAACTGAAACGTGTATCATTACGAATGGCGGAGAGTCGGTGAATCATTTTATTATCATTTTATAAAGACTTGTTTAAAATTTTGTAACATCTCTTCGCTGTCGTCGTTAACGAATCGAAATGTCCGCATAATAAATCGCACTAGATCTCGACGAGGTTCAAGTTAAGTTGAGCATTCAAGTTGAGCATTGAAATTAACAAGCTGAGCTAGGATTATTGGCCATAGCATACGCAACTTTGTACACGAATCATAGGTCAGCAACGATTCTTCCGAGCTCAGGGGAAGTCGCGAAAACAATTGGGCCCGTTTCGAAGGCCAACTAAAACGATGTCTCGTCGAATGTCCTCAATCATCTAGGTACAGAATTCCCCGGAAAGAATCATCCGATTTCAAAAATGTATATTTTAAAAAATTACGCACAGAAAATTATAATTCAAACACGAATATAACGGGAAAATGTGTGAGTTTTTGTTTACAAGTGTTCGATATGACTTCCTTTCGTTA